GAAGAGTTTCAGGAATTCCACAAGCATTTGATTTGAATATCCTTTTGAAAATAGTTTTTTAAAAATAATATTTTTAAGTGTAATAAAAATATACACACTCAAATTAGTTCTATACCAAATATTAATAACTGGAGATACCACAATCATGTTAACTCATTTTCATGCAAACCTCAGAATAAAGTTTCTCCTGCTATCTCTGTGTATATATCTGGACTCCTAGTAAACGTCTCATTGATTAGGAAGGCTTGTAATGCTACACTGGTCTTTTGTTCTCCCTCCCCATCCTCCACCCCGACCCAATTCAGGCCTGCACATATTTGCTCACTAAAAGCTTTACAAGCAAATGCACTACAGCACATGCATGTCACAAGCAATTAAGTGGCAGGTGAAATGAGGGCATATCTTGCCTTGTGTGCTTAATCAAAGCATAACAGCAGTCAACAAAGGAACCTATAAACGGTCTCATCAAGACAATATCAACTGTTTAGCATTTAATTTTTTCCCCTTTTCCTGACTTTTTAATAAATGATAAAAAATGTGAGCAGTTTGTTAGAAACTGTTAGCGACTGAACTGTGAAACCAATTTCCTACTCCTTTATGTCCAAGTTCTAGATGAGTTTACTTGAAAAATACTCTGAGACTGCAAGACAAGCTATTAAAAAAAAAAAAAGTCACATGGAACTAAATTATCTGAGAAGTCAGGACTTTTCTCAATACTGATATTCAACCAAACAAACTGGTTACTGAAGAAGAATGTTACCTGTACCCCTTGGTATTAAATCTGCATTCATCACAACTTTATTGCTCTCATTAAATTCAGAATGCTAAAAAAACGGAATTTGCAAAATTTATTTATACTAACAGAATCAAGCTTGTATCTGTTTTCTTTATTGGGCTTCTGCATTAAGCTTTCATTTAAAATGAAATTTAACAAATAAAAGTTAAAAAAACATTAGTCTAATACACTGGTTAACACCCTGGAACTCAAACTAATACAGGGCCCACCCCTAGAGCTTCCTAGCCTCTGTTCATGGACCAATGAAAAGTGAAACAGGTTCAGGGGAAGGAAGGACTCACTCCAGGTTGAGGGCCTCCCCTAGCTACAATGAGAACAAGATAGGAACAAGTACTGCGTATCACTGCTTAATACCCCAAAGATGTACCAACTGGTCAACTATTCTCAACCTCAGTCACAGACTAAGAATGTGACTATTATTCTATCTTTATTTCCAGACTGGCCTTCTAAGGAAATCTGTGGTGTGAGTGGAATGGAAAGGGAAAAGGCAGCCTAAGATGGGCCATTATGGAATACTAAAGGATATAAATTTTACTGAGGATGATAAACAGTAACTGCTTATAGGTAAGGTGATTCTCAGAAAATATATCATCTTGTCAGTCATTATGTTTAGGCATTTCCTTGACACTTGCTCAGAGT